CGGCGCCCCCGAGCCGTCTCGGCTGCCATGCGTCCGCGGCAGCACTCGCTGCGGGAGATGCGCTGGCTGCGGGGGCAGCCGCCCACACAGAGCTGTAGGTCTTGCTCCTCCGTGAAGGCGCGTGCCACCTCCTCGGCTGCCCGGATGGAGAAGGAGAGCTGGCGGCCGGCCTGACGGACAGCGATGGTGGTGCCGATGTACTCTGCACGGATCTCCACGTGCCGCCCAGGGCTGCGCTCCCGGATGGCCAAGCTGCTCCCGCCCGGCCTCTCGCCGCCGTTCACCGAGCCGTCCTCGAAGGCCGCCGGGAGGTTGTCTATCTCAGCCTGGTAGACCTTCTGGTCGATGCATTCCTTCATGTTCTTGAAGATGATGGTGAGCTGCAGAGAGCAGATGAAAGGGGTTTGATCTGACTTGCTGTCGCGAATTCTCAACTGCTACTAAACCAAACCGTGTGAAGTCACTCACGATAAATTAACGTACGTGGCGGGATTCACAAACCTCCATGCGCGATGCTTGCCAGGTGTGAGGGTGGCGGCCCTTTTTTCTAGGGGAGGGCAAAGCAGATTGCACACGTCTGCCTCGCCGATGTGTCCCCTCTGCCCCAAACCGTCTCTCCCATATTGCTGCAGTCCTTTGGGGAAAACAGCAATGTTTTCCTCTTTCCTTCCTTTCCTTCCTTCTTTCTTTAATACCATTTAAACAACTGAAAACTGAGATGGAGCCCAGCCTGGATAGATTGCATGCAGGAAACCCGTGGAGCACACAGTAACCAACCCCCAGGCAGCAACGGGAGCGTTTGCAGGTCCCTCTGGTCCCCTCGGGGACCTTCGTCCCGCTTGTTCCTGCAGACGTTCATTCCCAATCCCATGTGGGTTTAGCTGAAGCTATTGCTGCCCGCCCCCGCCAGCCATTTTAGGGAGTGCAGGGAGTGCCCTGAGCCGTTGCTGCGTCCCGGAGGTGCATGGTTTTGCTGCCAAGCCCTATGCGGGAGCGTTACCTTGCTAGTGACCGTAGCGTTGGACCCCTTCGCCACCGGAGAGCTGGTCGCTTGCACAAACAAGTAGTCATTGTCCAAGAGAGGCCAGGAGCCCTCCACTCGGCAAGTGTGGAAGTCGTCATGGAAAGTGCGGATGTGGGGGTCCCCGAAAGCCGCGCAGTGCTGGTAGCTGGGGGGCTGGCCGTGCTTGTAGAGAAAACTCTTCTCGTAGTTGCAGATATCGAGAGATTCGAAGCCCTGATGGTTGGGGGCCGGGGGCCGGGGTCGGGGTGGCGATGTCGGCCCCTCCTTGGAGCAGTTGTTCTGGATCATGAGGTCCTCGATGCCGTGGACGGCGGAGTGGTAGGCCAGGTCGCCCCGGCACGTGCGAGCCGTCTTGCGGGTGCAGTGGGAGTAGGAGCGCAGGGCGTTGCAGTACGCCGCGTTCCTGTTGGAGCCGCGCAGGTTGAGGGTGGCAGCCACGTACTCGGAGTTGCAGCGTAGGATCTTGCACTGGGAAGAAACTGGGAGAGACGGGATGGCCCAGGGCATCCCAGTAGAGCTGTAGGGATGGGGAAGGGCACCCCCTTCTCTTCCCACCACCTCCCACCATCTGGCCCACTGCAGATCTCATGATGGAGATGCTTTCTGGAAGCGCTTATCTCCCTGTTCTTAACGAATGCAGCGGCCGGTTTAAGTGACCTGCTTCTTACGTGCCTGAGGGGAATGAAGCCAGGGTTGCCCACTGCAGAATCAGGCTGGAGCCCGGTGCAGAAGGCGGTTGTGGGGCCCAAGGGGTGTCCTGAAGCAACCAGGATGTGAGAAGGTACCTGGGGCACGAGCGCTGCCAAGGGCCAGGGCAGCAGTCGTGACTGCGGCCCTGGGACGTGGCTTAGACCCAGATTCTTCGCCCCAGGGCTTGCCAAGGGGACAAACGGGAATTTCTGAGCCGGGAAACCCCTTCTTCCCATTTCAACCTCAGCCGGGCCGTGCAATCGCCCTTTTGCGAGAGGCTTGGACTGCACCGAGGACATCCTGCCCCTCAAACACGATTTCTCCGTGCTGCAGAAAGCGGTGCCGCGTGCCGCAGCGCCAGGAGAGCTAACGAACCCGCCCCGGCAGGGATCGTTTAGCTCATTAAGTAGAGGGGTTCTAAGGGATGGCGGTCCTTGCAAGGGGTGGATGCAGGCTGGGCTAAGGCAAGGGAGGTGCTGTTGTCTAAGTGCTGGGAAATGAATTTCGAGGTTGCAAATCTTGAGCCCTCCTACAAGTTTTTGGGATGCAGGAAGGAAAGCGAGGGGCTGAGTGATGGGTATGGCTGGTGCCTTTCACTGGAAGACCTTGGGCTTCGGCTGGTCCCTGCGCCTTGCTGTCCCTGTCTTATCTTGGGAGATAACAGAGCTTTTAGGGGCTCTCCCAGGGCAAGTCCCTGCTGCAGGAGAGCAGGGGGCTGCTCTCCTTGCTGAGGTTACCCTGGTAGGGGCAGGTGATGCCGGTGGGATCGCTGCCTGCCCTTCCCTCTGGCTGTGGTGGGCCGAGGGCGCGCTGATCCTGCCTGAGCCTTACGGTCACGATGAGAAAATCTTGTGCTTGCTCCGGCCACCTCCCGGGAGCTCTGCCATGGTTGTGCCCTCCCTGCACCCTGGGGCTGCGGCTCCCGTGGTTATCCTTGCCAGGGACCTGGCTCTGCCCGTGCAGTTCCTTACCATGCCTGCAGAAGAGGAGGAGGAAGAGAGCTCGAAGGAAGAAGCCGGGGTTTTCCAGCTGCCCTGGGCTCCTACTGCAGGCAGGTTTCCCCATTCCAATCCATGCAGAGCCTGGGGGGTTGCTCACCCGCTGGCTTGTCTCGGCTTCATTCAGCAGGTCCCCTAAAAGCAAAGCGGAGGTGGGATCTGAGAGGTGCCAGCAAATGTGAGCTGCTGCAGGTACGGAGCTGCCAGCATCCAGGCGGCTGCCAAATGCGGCCCCGCAGGGCTTGGCTGCGCTGCTGCCCCTGGGGGAGGCCAGCTTTTGAGCAAAATCCCCGAGGGTTTGGTGTTTTTTTTAATTGCTTTTAACCACGGCAACTCTCATCTTCCACCCCGAGGCAGCTGTGCTGCGTAGTTCAGTGTGTCAAAAAGTTAAAGCTTCCAGCTGCCCTTGGAGAGGATCAGTGAGCTCCAGGGGCTGGAAGAGACTTCGCAGCAGGGATGTGAGCAGCCGATGAGTGCAGAGAGGACCCAAACCATCCTATGGGTCGGGTGCAGCGTGGCCTGCTGCTGTCCCCACCGAAATTAAGGTTTGGAGCACAGCATCTGAGGGGACAGGAGTTGAAAAGCCGAATTATAAGTGCGACTGCCGTGACATCCACAGCCGGCACCACTGGGTGATACCAGCACCTCCTGCTCCGCCAAAAACCTGCGCCCAAGTTTCCTTCAAAGCTGGGAAACGTGCTCTCAGCCACATTCCCCGTTCCCCCTTGCTGTGCTGGCTCTGGGTGCTGGGGGGCTTGAGCTGGCTGGAAGGGGAGTGCCAGAAGCTGCAGGCACCCAGACGGTGGGCTGCAGCGGGAGGATGTGCAGCCGTAGAAAAAAAACTTCCCTTGTGCTTCGTCAGGGCTGGGGATTTGAGTCCTTGGTGGCTTATTTTAACAGCCACGGTTATTAATCCCTTGTTAGTCAAATAGCTTTTTGCAAAGGTCCTTTTGAAACTGCTGTGTGTGAAATCGGTATTATATATTTTTTTTTTCCCTCCCCTTTAGCTTGTGTGAGGTGCCGGTTGCCCGAGGCTGACACTCGTGGTGATGTGGCTGCGCCTGGTACCCTGGGCAGCCCAAGGAGCTGATGTTACTGACGCTGTGATTGCTAGTAAGTGTAAGCTGCAACCAGTGGGGCGAGAGGAGACTGGATTCTCATCTTTTCCTCAGCAAAGGAGAAATCACAGCCCTACCAGCTCCGTCTAGCACCTTTTAGCTCCCTTTGTCATGGCTGCAGCCATCAAACAACGCCGTTAGTTGTACTGGCTGGCACGGTGACGTAGCCGAGTGCTGGCGGCCCCCCATGTTCCTCTGCCAGCTGGATTAATGGCTAATGGGGCAGATGTCTGGAGTGAAAACATGCTTCAGACCTGCTGGCGATGCTCTGGCTGCCAGCTGCTCCTGGCAGCGAGGACAAGCTGAGCCAACCGCGATAGAGGTGGGGAAAGTGGTCTCTGCAGCCCTGGGGCATGGAGACACGAGACCCAGTGCTAGGAACTGGGAACTGGGATTTGGTGTGGACTGGTGAGCGAGGTACAAGCAGACCGTGCGCTCCCATCCTCCTCCTCCGGCCGGCACTTGCTCTGTTGCATCTCCCCCTGTCTGGCTTGAGCCCGTTCGACCAAGCTGAGCATCTTTCTTGGGGCTCACAGGAGCTAGTGACCCCTCAGCACTACCCGTCCCCAAAATCCCCTGGAGGTGGTGACACGGAGGGGACCTGGCGCAACGCTTAGCAGATAAACGTCTGGTTAATGTGTAGTGGGGAAGCGTGGCTCTGGCTGGGGCGAGGAGAGGCCCTGCCGTGGGTCCTGTAGAGAGCAGAACTTCCTTTGGGATGTCCCCATCCCCATGGCATTGGGAGAATGGTGGTGGCAGCAGTTAGAGATGCTCCATAAGCCCAAGGTGACGCCGCCTGGGAGGGGAGATGGGTGGTTTTTGGCTGTGCCAGGCAGACACCCCAGTCCTCCCTCTGTTTGGGGCTGCCTGTGCATGGGACCGGACCCTGGGGCACCCCGGGGTGCCAGCGCCGATGTCCTGTGCCTCAGACCCTCGTCCCTGCCCTCACTTTGCTGCAGCCCCGCTCACCTGCGTCAGCCTCCTCCGGAGACAAGCTGGCTCCCGATGCAGGGAGCTCCTTCCCGGGGGGACACGCGGGCTGGCTTGTCCTTGTCACCTAGCTCTACCCCAAGTGACAGCCAGGGAGGAGATCCGTGGGATGACAGCCGGGAAAACGCCAGCCTCAGTCCTGGGCACCTCCATGGCCTCGCAGGCGGATAAAATCCAGGGTGCTGGTGCGGAAAGCCCGGCTGGGGGTGCCGGGAGCAGACCCCACCACAGGGCACTGCGGTCCCTGCTTTTCCTCCCTGGCTACCTTTGCTCCGTCCTCTTCCCCTCGCAGGGCAGAGGATGGGTGTTGAAATAGATCCGCCTAAATTTAGACAGGCTAAAACCCAGCCAAGAACAACAAGCGGAGGGGGCAGAGGGAGACGGTGTGTGGCAAGGGGAGGGCAGAGGAGCCCGAGGAGGAGGTGGGACCCCCCCAGACCACCCTGGCTCAGTGATGCTTCTCGCTGCTGTGGGGTCTTGTCACTCGTGGGGCGCAGCGCAGGCAGCGGGAGCTGGCTTCCTCGGGGCTACCTGGTTTTCTTTCCTTGGGTGATGTTGCAACCCCGCAGCTGCACAACTGAGGAGCGAGTCCCCGTGGAAAAGCGCCGCGCTTTTCCCTGCGGGGTGTATCCCCACGGGGAATACTTTTTCAGCCGTGTCTCTCATAGCTCGCCCTCCTGGCGCATGGCTGAGTCCCGAACACAAACACGGCACAGGCCAAAGGTGGCCGGTGGCGCAGGGGTCGATGAACGCCAGGCCGTGCTGGCTGGGCTCCCGAAAGCCCACCTGCAAGGGCTTGGGCACAGAGAGTGGCTGCACAAACCCCTGTTCCTGCAGCGAGGAGAAATGGGGAAAGGTCCACGTCGGGCTTTTCCAGGGGCAGCCTGTCCATTTAGGATCCCTGGCAGTTATGGCTGGAGGGCAGGGATTGAAAGTTGGTCCTTCAGTACCCCCAGCACCCACAAACCCTTCTGGGAACTCATTCAGAAAAACCTCCCGCCTCCTAAACTAAATTCCTGCTCTTTTCCAGGTCTTGCTCTTCACAGTGGGGAGCGAAGCCTCGCAGACCCGCAGCGCCCTCGACGCCTTCGCACCCGGAGCCTCGTGCCAGCCTGAGCCCAGGAGAGCGGAGGGAGCAGCGGGGCTTAACCAACCCCCCCAGGTACCGCCGTGCCCCTCCTGGGAGAATTGCTCCCGATTTCCGCAGTGCACCTCCAGACCAGTTTGGGTTGTTTAGGGGTGGAGGGGAAAAGGGTTTCCCCCTCCGGCCTCCTCTCCTGCTCTGACCCTGGCGCAAGCTCTGCTGCTGCCTGGGTCATGGCAGCTGCTGAACTGTTCTTCACCCGGGGAATTGGGGAGAAAAGGAGGGGTAGTGGCTGCTTATTGCAGAACAAGCTTCAATCTACAGCCAGACTCATGTTTTAAGTGTAATAGTACGTCTTCCTTGGGGGCAATGGATAGAGGAGAGGAAAACAAAGAATAAATACCAGCTTGGGTTCAAATCCCAGCAGGGATTTACATCAGCAGCCACCAGAGGAGGAAAGTTTTGGATGCCCGGGCTTTTTTTTTTTTTTTGCTCCCGGGGTGCACAGAGGCTTTGCAGCTCTTTTCCCTGCCCAGTATTTATGCTCTGGGTGTCTGTTACCTGGTAACAAGGGATAACCAGGGAATGGAAAAAATCTTGTTTAAAAAATAAGACCCATATCCTAGAGTAGCCTCCCGAGGTCCACCCTGGCCATGCCACGTTATCCTCCCCGTCTGCCGCCGTAGGCTTCCCCACAGTGAGCCCCCAGCGCGGGGAGGCGCGGACACCCACCGAGGGAATCGGTTACACGCAGGGCGAGAGCAGGGGCGGGCAGGTGGGAATTCTTCTGGAACAGCAGACGGTACCATCTGGGCTCGGCAAGAGCAGAGGCCTCTCGGCATCCCACCCACCCGCTTCGTTTGGACAAGGGAGGGGGAAACTTCGAATGGTGAAACCAAACTGGGATATCCGCGTTGCTGCAGCCCAGAGGGTTGTGGGGACCTTCCCCTGCCTCGCAAGCCCTGAGGCGCAGCGTTACGGCGCACCTCCCTGGCGACGTGCCGGATCCTGGCCGTGCTGTGAAACGGAACCATCGATTGTCACCGTCCGTACGCAGCAGCTCTCCGAGCTGGGGGCTGCAGGCATATGTTGGGCTGAGGAGGCTGGGAATTTCTCCCGAGCTGGCAGAGAGTCACAGTACCAAGACAAAAGCATCTGTGATCAAACTGCTTCCGAAAGCCAACTTCCCCCCCTTCCCACCAGCAAAATCAGCTGGAGGTTTAGGAGGCACAAAGCACCAAATCCCGCCAGCTGGGTCACCAAATCCTGCCACCGAGGGGGCTGCAGAGCAGCTGGCCTCACCCACATCCTCCCGCCCGAAAAGACGAGGCTTTCCCAAGCACTGCAATGCCTCGGGAGTGGGGAAGAGACCCGCAGCCGCATAATTTTTGGTGCAAAGCAGGTAACGTGCAGCTCTGCTCGGGAGCTTCGCCCACGTGGGTTGTCATCTGGAGCAATGTCATCCCTCCAAAGGTTGGGACGGCATGGTCGCGGCTCGGCTCCAGCCCCCACCTAGCCCGATTACTAACACGATGAGTTTGGTGAGGGTTTGGTTTAACCCTAGTGCTTTGGAGATTTAATTTGCTCAGGGAGACCAGCCCCGGCTTGGCTCTGAGCTGGCATCAGCTGTGTCTGCAAACCCGCTGCTACCGGGAGCCCCGGTCCAAACCCAGGTGGGTTTGCACCCAAAACGGCCTGCGTGGATGGGGGAACTCAGAAAAATGTATCTAAAGAGGCGTCAGGTCTCCAGAGAGCTTGTCTGCCTCCGCCAGAGCTGTGGGCACGAGCAAACCCTCCTGCCAGCCACGAGCCTTGCGAGGTGAGCGCGTACGGCTCGTGCACAGCACGTCCGTGCCGCTCCTGAACATGGCTTGG